TTCTGTAGAGTTTTTTTATCTAGTGGATATTTACATGATGCAAGTCAATTTGGTTTCGCCTTAACATTGACTATTTAGCGGGGGAAACTTAAAGACGACAGCGAACCAACCTTGAATCACTTGTGAGAGACCCTCGGTGGAAACTTAAATATGGAGTATAAAGGCCATTAGTAAAAGCTAGATCTACTATACTGTCGTTCTCGTTACCGACTGAACTTATTGGAATAAATGTTTGAAAAGAGTGAGGAACGTATTTGTAAGCCGGCTAGTTACGCAACAGAGAGACAGATCTGTATATTATGGTACTGCAGCCTCGTAGAAAAGGTTGAAAAATTTCTCCTTAAGCTACTTTTCTACGGTTTCATAGTCATCAGTGATGGCAAACAGGGTAGACACAAGCAAGCGAGACAGGCACACCTTGAAAGCCACAGTAAAGCACATAGGAATCAACGAAAGAACCTAGAGGGGTTCCGTTCATGATCTTGGACTTGGTTTACTGCTATTAGAGGGAAGGAGTGATCTTCGAGGACGAGGGCTGAGGAGAAAACGCATAAAACAACAGTGAGATGAATGAAACCCTGCCAGCACCAGCCCCGCCTAGCCCCGCCTGGCCCCCTCAAAAATGGCGGGGCTAGAGGGGCCATGAGGGGGCTAGGCGGGGCTGTGGCGGGGCATGCAACGCGATAGCCTCGCCTAGCCCCGCCAGCGAAAAAAATGCGCAGGGGACGCCACATCCCCGCCCACTTTTTGCACCACTTTAAAATATCGTCCTGTATACCGAGTCCCCTGAGGAGCAGTGCCTCATTGTTCCCACAGGTTACACGTCGGAAGCCACCCTGCGTACGTAGAGTACTACGGTATTACATAGTACTCACAGTGACCCCGCCGTACACGTGCCCACTAATCGGCAGCCAATATCAAATACACGCGACGCAAATTCATGTGAATGAGTTATTTATTGTATAAACGAAAAAGGGATTGGAAAATATGTACAATCATAATAAATGTCAGTGCCAGTATATACATGGACTTCAACATATGTTGTGCCATTCAGTTGTGCGTTCCAAAAGTCCCCGCTTCGACGGCTGGTGCTTCAGTGATAGCCAGAGTAATTACGCTTCATAATTGCTTTGAATATTCAGTAAAAGACGATAAACAATTTGTATAAGTGGACTACGAACACCAAGGCTAAATATACATACATAGACATACAACTCGACTACTTGAACTGGATGGTGAGTAGATACCTAAACAATTAGCATAATATACATAAATGAACTAAGACAGCTATCAAGAGCATGAAAACAGCATTGGCTGACTCACGATATTATCTGCAATCGATTGTCAAATAAACGAATAAATAACACACACAGATTCTAATCCGGTGGACAAATGAGAGTTTACGCAATGAGGGACTTAAACAAAACCTCAGTATAGTGTGCTCATCCGCAGCTACATTCAGTGGGCGTAAACGGATGCTTTCTCCATGATTTATAAGCCAAGCTTGATAAATTAGCTCCTTTTAATGCCAAAGAAGGTACAATGAGTGGTGCTTTTGAAACATATGTTTCGATGCAAATACGCTTCAAAATGCTTTAATCCAGAGGGGGCTCTGGCCCCACCCAGCCCCTTCCAGCCCCGCCTATGAAGGGGCCATGTGCTGGCAGGGAAGTCACAACCCGTTAAACCTAACATCATGTCCATGCGGTCAGCGGACTTTAAGGGTCCAGTCTGACCTCACTGGGCATCTCCGAACTCACCACAACGTCAACGCATCCAACACCCGTCCGCCAAACACAAAACCACAAAAAACCAATACTACCTCCACCAAAATGCTTGGAAGCACTCTTCCTGTCTACTTTCACTGTGCGCTCTGGTCAGACTATTGCATACTCATGGCAAGAGCGCTTGCCGCGTGTGTAAGTGGGTGCACATCAGCATTCAACGAGGCATCACACATCAATCATGAAACAATCATACAACGCAACTTGTTGCCGTAATGATGGCGGATGATGGATTTGAGTAGGCAAATTTATCCCCAATTTACGCAAGATTTGTATTTTAATGGATATGATTCACACAGAATGAAAAAAACAGGATGCACTTCGACAGAGGCCTTCAGGTCACATTAACCGCCTGCGCTGAATCTTGTCGCCAATCGGAAGGACTCAGGTTTGCTGGTGTGGGTGCGGGAGTAATAAGGTTGATTCACCTGGAAATCAAGACATTAATTCATTGACCCAGTGAATGGTGACTGACTCGCGTCACCAACCGAGGCCAGTCTTAGTCACAGCCAACTTTACTCAGACTGATCACTGGCAGCCGGGGGAGAGGGTGCGTGAGTGAGGTCGATATAGTTCTTGACTTGAAAGGTTGCCGGCTAGACGAATAACTTGGTTCCCCCTTAGTATTGAGGTCCTTTGTGACACTCACATTTATGGGAGACTAGAATGCACCTTACTGAAGCCCCATGCATGTGGATTTTGGGAATTCGGACCTGTATGGCACGCGTGGACTATGGCTGATGAAATTCGGCCCAAATATTCATGCATAAAATTTCGGCCTGCGCCTATAGGAATTAGTTTAAGCTGATTTACTCCAAGTTAGTAGTTTATTTCTGAGGAAATTAAAAAGTAACAACACCTTAACTGGATTATCTACCAGGAAGCAGACGGGGAATGTCGGGGGACCCACTGATGAGCCGAACCCCTCACAGCTGTGTCATGCAGCGGCAGAAAATAGGCGTAACACGCGCGTCTGGGAAATTAGTTAATACCTCTGCTGCTAGTATAGTATCGCATAACACTAATAGCAACTCCATATTCAAAACTTGTCAGTAATCAACACGACAAAACGATTTCCACGGAACAACGGTCAGTCTCTGCCAACCTGCCAATAATATCTCCATAAACCGAAATTTTGTGCAACAAATAAACTTTATAAAAACGAATTGTACCCCGCTGTGTCGAGCATATTCAAATCGCGGTTTCCAGTTAAAGGGCTCCGAGGTAAATTGAGTGGTTAGCAATACATGCAATAAAGCGGCTTCAAGCAACAGTCGAGAGTACGAAGACTTGCTTGCTGGCCCAGTTCTTTCATTTACCTGACGCCAGGCGAACGACAAATTTTATAAATAATAGTCTAAAAGGATACAGCGTTTTTGGCGGCATTCCTGGAACCCCGAACCAGGTTTTCCAAAAGTAGCCACGCGGTAGATGTCCTGAGCCAACGTGGGGACCGTATCGGATTATGGCAGGCGTTATCGGAATGCGCACAATAACAACTTTCAACATTTCGGAGTACGGTAGCAGATCCGGCTGCCGGCAGACGTCGCGCCCACTGGGCCCCCTGTCGCTCCTAATTTTTGCTGTTGGTTACAATCCTGGTCATTTGCTGTGTGGACCAAGGGGTGTTAAGTGGAACGCCAAGGTGCGGGGTAGGTCGTGCCATCCACCTGCGTCCTTCCCGCCTCCGGTCTTCTTAACTCTGTCTTGGCACCGGGCGCAGGTGGGGGATGAGAAGAGGGTGAGGTAGATGCTGTGTAAGTCTACTACCACCGCAGACTAACTCGCGCACCTGTCCCCATTCCTGCGCTCCCTGACTGTGGAACAAACGGTGGACATCGTCGGCAACGACGGCCGAATAGCTTTTAGTTTATGGTGGTCTTACTGAACTTGCAGAATTCTTGACCTCCCGCGTAGACAGCTTCGAAAGTCCTTAAATGATAGAAAAGTACACAGCGACCCCGTCTGGAGCACATTTAAAGATGTGACCACCAGCTAAAAACATGAACTTCAAAATATGGACTAGTCGCCTGAAGTTGGAAGCGCAGGGTTCGTTGTATTGGTGCGTAAATATCTCAGGATGTTTTTGTGGTGATGAGCTAAAAAATCGAATTTTTACCGTATTCTAAAATGCCGGTTGACTGTATAACAAAAAAAACAAAAAAGCAAATTAGAAATTCTGGCGGAGGAGAATATCGTTCCATGCGGACGGCTCATCAGTCCAACACGGACACAACTTCTGTGTAATTGCCGACATACTGCGCGACAATGAAGTCGACTGTATGTGGACGAACAGAAGGAAACCCTCCTTTCATCCACGGAACAAGGCAACTCTCTGCGTCTTCCAGTCTTCGAAAACAATCGTGAAGCCTACCTTTCCGCAGCATCAGACGGTCAATAGAATGATTTTGGCCCCCTTTTTCAACTTTGCAGATGTTCCTTCGGAAACTCCCGCTCTCATTAATCAGCCAAGCAACGGCACTCAATCAGCGGAACAAGGGTTTTATAGACCTCACGTCTCGGATTCAGACCCTAAATCATCAGCATAGGAGGGTGGGCGGACTAGGCGCCAACAGAGTAACGGGAGGCGGTTAATGTGCTGCCGTGTGCCTGTGAATTGGTTGGCTGGTTTTGGCATTATGGGTGTTCGTAAGCGACACTATGATTTATTCGCAGGCCACGTTTTAGTCATTAATGGTTGCGCCTTAAATGGCAAATTAGTTTAATCACCAAAGAGTCTAGACCCTCTCGAAAAACGTTCATTACCAAGCAACCCACGTGAGTGAACACTTCGACTAGAGGTAGATATTAACGTCAGGGTTGAAGGGCGAGGCCGCCACATCCACTTCGCGCCTGAGAATTTCGATTCAACTATTTGGCGACTAGTATACTAACCGCCTTCTGTTTCGCAAAATTTGCAGGTATGGTTGAATATTGCCCAGTGAGCCGTGAGTTGAGTGTTAACATCATCCCTCTTATGACCTCTTTGATCCTCCGGGTCCGAAATAATCGTCCGTTTCACCGATAAGGACGTGCTTTCCGCAAATGCATCTGATCTAGCAAGTGCATCGTAATGACGGTTTTTTGGGTCCATTGCTTGGTGTCTGATGGTTATCTTAGGCCTGTGTGGTAGGAGAAGGCTGCCAACGGTTTCGGAGGTGTTTTTCTGACATCTGAGTCCTATGCGGCTTTTTTCTCGTCTCATTCCCTGCATAGTTAAATAATCAGTACACTGCAATCAGCGCGCGGCCACCATGCTTCTTCTTCTTCTTCTTCTTCTTCTTCTTCTTCTTCTTCTTCTTCTTCTTCTTCTTCTTCTTCTTCTTCTTCTTCTTCTTCTTCTTCTTCTTCTTCTTCTTCTTCTTCTTCTTCTTCTTCTTCTTCTTCTTCTTCTTCTTCTTCTTCTTCTTCTTCTTCCTTCTTTTTCATCATCTTCTTCTTCCTCGTCTAATTTTCTTTTTCTTTTTTTCTTTTTCTCCTCCATTTTCAACAAGATGCCTGGGAGGACGGCGCTGAAACACCCTTGAATGTCAACATATGACCCCGTTACAGGAGGGCGAGTGTGTCGTTCACATACCCAGCCCAGAACAACAATTACGTCAACCGTTCCAGCACGTAAGAATGATGGAATAATAAAAGCATCTCAAGCAAAGAGAGAGGAGTCTGATTTAAAGAAGACAGAGGCAGACAACTGAAGGAATTTGATTTTGTTCCTGTTTGAATTTAAAACAGGCAAAATAGCGGAATTTATTGGTGCCAAAAAATTCGCGATGGCATATCGACTGCTTCCTGCCGTTTTATAACATGGATAACGAGCGATGAATATACAACAGGTTGAATAAAGGCGAAAAATTAACATGAAAATAGTCTCGCTATAGTTCAAGACAAGCAGTCTAATCAGAGAGAAAGGGGCCATTTGAAAAAACGCTTTTTGAAAGCAGCCCACATACGGCGTGGGAAACAAAATCCGTACAGATAACGAGACTATACAAAAATACCTGGTCCTCTGATTTTAAGAGTTTTTGGTACTATTTACACGACACTCCTAAGTGGCCTTTTAGTCGATTAGACTACATGTTTGCGGTTTTCTCATTGATTTTCGGAACAAATTCCAGCAGGTACATACTTATTACTCGTAATACATGTTATGAAGTGAAAGGAAGCAGTTGATAAGCTGTCGTGAGCTGATGTGACAATTTCCAGACGCCTTAGACATTGAGCATTTTGCTCGCTTATCCAAACCCTCTAAGCAAATGCTCTTTTATTGTGCGGAAAATGTGTCCACGTCATTTTATCAAATAAAATGTTCATAAATGCGGGTGAAAATGGACGTTGCGATACATTCAGGCAATTTCCTATGCTAATATGTGTCCTAGACTTTGACTGCGTGTCTGGAATTGTTTCGCTCTGAGAGGAGAGTAATTAGCACTTGAAAATTGGTTTTTTGTCTGATGCTAACCGTGGGAGTCAGTTTGATAACGCACAGGTCATTTTTAGAGAACCAGGTGTTTTATCGATTTTTCAACGTCAGATTAGCAGATCCGTCGTGCCCTAAAGTGCAGCGATAACTCACACAGCTACTGAAAGCCACTTGAAACAAAATTACTCCTGATCTGCCTTTGGTCGTTTTCCGTCCGTTTTGAAAACACATTAACCAAATAAAGTGCCTGGAGAACGTTACGGAGGCGGAGCCGCTGAGCTCTCTGTTAGTCGCTTCTATGAGGCAGCGTGTTTGCCCCGAGGAAGCCAATGCACGGAGTTTCCCTTGTGATTTTCTCTATGAAGTCCAACCAAGCAACGTTCCATATCCCAAATGTGTAAGCCCCTGTAACCCATGCTATTGCCTGTGACGAGGTTCCGACCACCGGCACTCACTCTACCGACTTACCCACCATGGATAAAAAGCCGCATAAAATGCATATTGAAAGGTCTTCGCAATGTTTTCACATTCATCAATTAGCGTGCACACTAAAATCCCGCAGA